ATTCATTTTCTGAAGTTTAAAAATATATAACATATATATTTTTAATATTCTTAAAAAATATGTTAAAGTTTCTAGTTCATTATATGCACAATACTATTCCAATATCTAGATCATTACATTATTCATTTATAGAACTTGAAAATATTGAGTCAATCCACAACGTGTCCTCAAAGCTAGCTACGGACCGAATTTATAACGAATTATAGTGAAATAGACGCGAATCGTCAGAAAACAAAAGAGACAGAAATCACTGGAGGGGACAATGTCCCTGACGACCCTGACACGGTAACGCACGAAATTTAGTACAGCAGTCGCTAGTCAGCAGTCTTAATGTTGACCACGCGTTGGTCGATAAATTCTATCGCGTTGTTTTTAATGTTTTTATTTGTGAACATTTTATTAGTAAATCTCTACTTGTCGTGAAATTAAGTAAAACAGTGTTTTTGGTGATTACTATTAAATATGAGTGTTGTACAAAATATATTAAAACTGAAAGATGGACGTCAGTTGGGTTATGAAGACTGAGTGAAATTCAAAGGTGGTGGCCGGCAAAACCTAATATAACGATAAAGCAAACATCTCTTGATAAGAAAAAAAGAAGTTAATAGGTATGTTTAATTAAAAAAAGTTATCCTTCAGCAAATTTTATTCATTGTTACGCTCATCAACTAAATTTAATTTTACAAAAAGCATCAAGTCAGGATAAAAGCATAAAAATTTTTTTTTGCTAATTTACATAGCTTTTCTTCATTCTTTGGAAAATCGCCAAAAAGAACAGCCGTGTTAGATAATGTTGTTAAGGTGATATTACCTAAAGCTGCTCCAACACGATGGAATTTTAATACAAAGTGCATAAAGACTGTTTATACCTATCGAACAGAATTATTAGATTGTTCAGAAAAAATCATTGATAATGAATCAGAAAACAACACTCTAAACCAAGCAATTGGTTTTAAAAACTACTTACAAAATGAACATTTTCTTTACTGGTTAAATTTTTTTCATTTAGTTATGCCTCATTGTGATATATTGTTCAATCAATTACAAAAATGTAATATCGATGTCATAACAGTAAACAAGTGTATTGGCGTTTTTAATAGTAAAATTGATGACATCAGAAATAAAATTTTGAATAACTATTTGGAGGAGACATCCATGCAGTCTGCCCAGAGATGTAAAACGGAAGAATCAAAAAGGAGAATTTCATTAGAAGTTTGTGATATAATTACATCTGATATTAAAAACAGGTTTGGCTTCAGTAATCATTTAGCAGTGTCTCAGTTATTTCACGCAGATCGATTTAAAGATTATAAAAAGAGCTTTCCTCAAGATATGTTTAAATTAGTTAAAACGGAGTATCCAGTCATAAATCATTTCAAACTTAAAACTGAATTAGAAGTATTATACAGCTGAGAAGAGTTTTCCAATAATGGAGGTGCAGTTGCTTACAGCTTTTTATTAACAATAATTTGTGCAATACTTTTTCTAGCTCTAAAGGCAAACATAAAATCTCTAAGGGTGTGTATATGGAGTCAGGTTTATTTTTAATTTGTTTTTCTTGAGCGCCACCAGTTTTTATTTATTTATTCTTCATAATATTAATGATAATAAGTCTGCATTATTTACAACAACAATAAAGTACATTTCATGGCAAAACTGGAAAAAGTGAATGGGTTGATTTTAAACAGAAAAGACAACTTATTCGTAGAGTTCCATATAACTTTCAGTGTACTATAAGTAGGCGACATAATAATGAGTAATGACTGATGCTTATTTTGAGTTTCACATACATTTCTGTATTTACCACATACTGACTTGAAAAATAAAACAAAATCATTCGTAACACTAATATTAGTATATTAAATTTCAGTAACTGAGTACCAGCTTACAACTCTGGTTCTTACAACCATAAAAAATATAGTGTTTATACTAATAGAAATATAACTAAAACATTAATCCAGCAAAATGGAATATTTTGTAACATTCAAGTTACAAATAAAGCCTAACCAAAAATTAAATATTACCGAAGTTACTAGTTCTAAACTAGACAGAAAAAGTTAAGCAAAACAAACTAAATTTTGTAGTCTCTAGGTGAAAACATCGCAACCAAAAGATCAAACACACCGGTGCAAAGCAGCTAAATACGCCGCCACAGATATACAATAGCAAATAATGCCCTATTATCGTCTCATTTAGGGCAATTCTATAATAGTAGTTCACACCCACAGTTAAACGTAAGGTTACATGGTGTACTACTGGTAACTCATTCACTGAAATCTTTTTTCGTTGAAATTAAAATAGCAGTACTTACAGGTGATTATACAATTTAGCCCTCTCCTCCACAGGAGACAAATTTTACCTACGTAGCACCAAAATTAGCACTTTACTGATCAAGTCAAACACTATACAGGTTTTACATTAAGTAATAATCAATCACTTTTCAGGTACCAAGTAAATCAGCCCACTCGTGCTTCGACTTAACAACCACTCTCCGCAAATTTTTTCAGAGTTCCCCTCACTCATGCTATTTCGTTACTTCTGGCTTTTTTTCGCGCTCTAACTATAAATGTGTTCATTAAAATTTTACAGCTATAAACAACTTACTACTTAATTGTGCAGGGTAGAAAATGCCCAACTCATAGGGTTATAAACAAACTTACATTTTATATTAGTCCAATTATGGTGCGATTATAAAGAGGACCGTCGCAGACTACAGGTAGGTTTGATTCATTTTTGCGTCATATACTTAATGTTGATTAGATATTGTATTCTACTAATGGTAATCTACTAATGTTGGTTAGACATTGTTAACTGACATAAGAGATACGAATAACTTTTGAGTTGTCTTTCAGCGTGAAAAGGGCATTGATGACTAATTGGTGAGGTTAGATCTGTATTGCTCTACTTACCAGAGTTTATCACATGTTAATAGATTAGATTCTTTTTAATTATTAACCTGCGCTTGCGTGGTTAAATTATTGTAACCAAATAGGTCTGGTTAATTTTTCGGTAATCCTACATCTGTATGACGTTGACAAAAGACGTTGGTAACTATTTGACTATAGTTAAAACTAAAAATGCCTCATTCTGGTTTCATATCATGAATATGTAGAATAGACTATTTAATATAACAAACCCTTATAACTGACATAAAATTTTGTGAAAATTTGACAGATTGTCGATTTCCTAGGTCGAGCTGACCCATATCTTATTGAACAGATTGTTATAAATATTAGTCGAAATTGCGTGCAGCGTAAACTGAACCAACTTTGGTTCGCGACTTTATATTGGTTAGAATTCTCCAAATCCTTCATCTAAAGTATTCTATAAATGAATCACGTAGTGAGGACGCCATCTCACTTTGACTTTTCTGGTTTCCTTTCTTAAAAATGGTTTCCTCAATAGAAATTTTCTCGTAACACGTGAACATCCCTTATTTATATGTTATGGGAAATGGGTTAATTGATAAATATAATTAACAATGTTATTTTCTTATTTCTAATACAAGGAAGTATAGTAATGGTGATTTTCCTCGAACTCGAGATTTTGATCGATATATACGTCTTAAACCCTCCTGAAACCATTCTGACTATTTTCCGAATGATGTCTGTCGGCATATGTGTATGTGTATGTATGTGTGCGTATATGTGTGTATGTGTGTATATGTGTGTAAGTGTGTAGGTGTGTACGTATGTACGTGTGAACATGTGTACGTGTGTACGTGTACACGTGTGCACGTGTGCACGTGTGTACTTGTGTACTTGTGTACGTGTGTGCGTGTACGTCTGTGCGTGTGAATGTGCGTGTGCGCGCGCACGCGTGTGTGTGTGTGTGTGTGTGTGTGTATGTATTTGCGTATCCGCGACAACTCAAGAAATCCCAAATTTGGCAATTAGAATTTTCAACAACATTTTAGGTGATACATTAAATTTGGTGAATGTGGTACCGCCAGAAGAGACATGATGAATGAAAGATGAAAAAAGTTACAATTCGGGAAAAAAAATTAAAAAAAATTTCTCGACGAATTGTAATGAAAAACATAACTAGGGAAAAATTCTGTCTGTATGTTTGTAGTATAGCAATAACAGCCACAGTTTTTGAGATAAAGCTTTTAAATTTGGTACACATTTTCGAAAAGTCAAAGATAATGACAAATTGAGCTATGAGCAAAAATGTCCTGCTGAAAGGAGATCCACGGGACCCAAACTTTTTTGCATTTAAATACAAAAAAAATGTATTCTTGATAAAATATTATAAATCAGGTTTACTATATGAAGCCAAAATATATTTACTAAGTATTTAAATAAAATTGATGTAAACTGAAATTCTGTACACATTTGACCTTATAAAGGCAGTCTGACATTTGAAATGTCTAATTTAGTTATAGAAATGTCAAATATCAATAAGAAAAAATTGTTAAAAAATATGACATAAATAATATCGACAGTATCGAAGAACGCTGAAAATTTTATTTATTTAAAATTTTTAATGAAGGATTTCAAGGTACGCTTTTAAAATTTAATTGAGATAAGTCAAGAATTAAATTAGAATGATTCTTTTAATTCAGGATGATATATACACTAGTATAGGAAAGTTATATGCTGGCCACATCACATGTTTTAATTAGTTTTATTTAATTTCCTATACAAGCTTTGAAATTCAAGGTCCCCTTTTAATTACCTATCGTTCAACTTTAACTTTAATTGATATCATGCTACATCGAAATAATACGTTAAATATATAATTGGTATATTGATTTATGCACAAATAAATAATGTGGTAAAATCGGAAATAATTTATGATTAAAATGGTGAGCAGATATAAGTTTTAAAATAGTTTAAAGTTTAAACACCACAGGAAATACAGTCCCCTGTATCCTCTGTATCCCTGAAACTATCTCAAGGTACCTTGTGTAGTAAAATGCTAGACATTTAGAGACAATGGACGCATACCCAATGTCCGAGTGTGCTAGGATTAATTTCTGGTTTAGAAAGAATCCTAGCTCCTCTACTGGGAATCGAACCCGGGATTCTAGGGTATAAGCCACGTATTCTTACCATTCGACCACCAAGCCACATAAAAGTAAAATTATAAAAAAAATTATAAAATAAATATAAAAGAAAATATAAAAAATTTTGTTCCGATTTTGGATATAAACTTTCCTAACCACGAAAATGTATTATATTATGATACTGTAATTCTATGGAAGCTGACAAAGTTAGTAACAAGATGTACTTTCAACTTAATTTTATTAGATTAAGCTGCAATTTTCACATAACTTCTTATGACTCAATAGCAGCCCTAAAATATAAACTATATAGCACAATTTAAAAATAATATGCCTGAGATATACCAGAAGCAAAAAAGGTAAATATATCACATATTACATGTTATTATAATGATTATCGTTAAAGCAGAGGAGGTTGCACTGGTGTCCCCAAGGAGCTACTTCGGACGTGATGCAGTTGACGTATAGAAATAAATAACACAAATTTATAACGGGATGTTTAATATTAACTGGACAAACTTAAAATCTGAATTCAGCACCTCAAAATAAGAAAAAAGGTTCCTATAAAGTTATGTCTGGAAACGCTTCGTCAAAGAGCCCCTCCAAAAATGGAGGCTAATTTTATGTTTTTAATTTTTTTCTCAAATGTGGAAAAGATAAAAAAAATTATTTTGGTGGAGATTTTCTACCAACAGAAACGCCTTTAAATGATATTTTTTTAATCATCCTTTATCGGTAAAATAGATGAAATCAACAACCCCACTTTTTTTTGTTTGAACTTTTTAACAGAGCCGAATTTTATCGCGTAAAAATGTGCCTTGGAAAGCTTGATTCATTTAGAAACCACTTTGTCTGTTTTATTTTTTCATCGACCTGACAGTTTTTGATTAAAAAAATAAAATATAGATGGACACAGTTATTTGGGAAATTACATTATTTAATAAAATGGAAAACGCCTAGTAGGATGCTGTAAAATAATAGTGTGGATTGTTAAAACATATTTTAATAAATCTTTGGTAAATCCTTAGTAATAATTAATTATGTCTACTAGGCGCCGATAATTGTTAACTTTCTGAACACAAATTTATCTGCATTGTTGAAAAAAATGGAAAAATATTTGTTAATCGTCGATTTAAAAATGAACCTAAATTTGTTTGAAGCAAGGAACCTATAGATTATAGTGAAATAGGAGCCACTTTTGAAAATACATTAGTGAAAAATTAATTCATGGAAAAAGGATTCTAGCTCGCATAACCAAGCGTGTGTTTAATAATTGATACACTAACTGTTATATCAGATTATTCCGAGGTTTATTTCCATATTAATATACTATTTTTCATATTCAATTATTATTATCTATCTTCGAGTGAAGTGAAGATAAATACTGCTTCTCCAGTTGTGATTTTTTTATGCATTTTTTACTTGTCCAATTTACTATCTTCTTCAGAACATATTTATTCTCTGAAAATATTCCTATAGTCGAAATTTTAATTGGATTTCGTTGCTAAACAATACTTTTTTAAAATTATTTAGACCAAAAACTTGTGTTCCGGTAAACCTTATTCATATTTTTCGTAAACATTATTATAAGTAATTTCGTAAAAAAATTGAAAATGGTAAAAATAATACAATCAATAGTTTGTAAAAATACGCTGAATGTACATTAAATATCTATAATAAATTGAAATAAATTGCAAATATATTTAATCATATACCTACAGTGTGTTTCATTAAAAATGAAGACACCTTGTAATTGTCGTCATTTTTTTAAATTCAAATTTGAGCTTTGGCACAATTGTAGTGCTATATAGGACGTACATTTCGAAGGAACCAACTTAAATTTAAGTAACAAACTGAGACAACTGCAGCCCCCAAATGGGACATATTTTGCTTCGCATTGAAGATATCGAAAAAAGTTATTAAAAAAAGTTGGTCAGAATATAATTTTGAGCTCCAATACCAAATTTAATTACGAAATTTTTTTCAATACCTTTCCGCAGTCTACAGACGGTGACAATTTTGGTTTACAATTTAATAGGATGCCATGGAACTAGCTGGAAAAACATCTCGTCGCACATAAAGAGGAACATATTAAAGAAAAAGGGACCAATTATTCGGTCTCTTAAAATTCCTCACCATACGTTAACATTCTCTGAATACTGGTCTTTACAATTAATAACCCTATGAGGATTTTCTGTAGACCAGTATCTACAGTTTTGAGAAGATACCACCCCATTAGTGGTAAATGTAGCCTCATCAGTAAACAAAATTTGATTTAGAAAATTCCCGTCGTCTAAAAAATTTCCCTGGGCACATAATAGCAATAATCTAACCTTTTATTTTCATCACCTTCTCAAAGTATGTAGAAATTTTGATTTATATTATAAGGCCTGATTTTATGACGTATGAAACATCTTCTAATTTTCTCCTTGTCGATATTCAGTTGAGACGCTAAATCTCATAGACTCACTCTTGGATTCGCTTGATTTGCAGCTAAAATTAAGTTATCTTCACTGCCAGTTTCATTGAAAAGAGCATTTATGGCGATTATAGTTCCATGAGTAATATCAACTCGTAAAGGATGTCTTCGGTTAAATTATGCTGCTACTTCTCTGCTACTACGAACCTCTTCACCAAATAACCTTATTATTTCGATTTTTTTCACTTAAATGCAGACGCGTTTTACGATTGTCAATTAGAACTTTACACAATATAACTCAAAGTTTTGTCGGATTGATATTTAATTTAATCATAGTTTTTGTTTCCATGGCATCCTAATAAATTGCAAACCAAAATTGTCACTGTGTGTAGACTGCGGGAAAATATTGAAAAAACTAAAAATGCTAATTTCGTAATAAAATTTGGGGCTCAAAATTAGATCCTAAACAACTTTTCTTCATTTTAAATGAGACACACTGTATATTTCTCTTTCTATGTTTTTTATAATAAAGCCTTTCTCACGGATATTATTTTTCATATTATATTATTTATAGAGGGCGTTTTGACAATTTCATCACGCAACCAATAAAATAATTATAAAAAGATGAACAAACCTTTAGTAAACGTATAAATTATGCATTTGTACTAAATATAATTATACTGATTCGAGAAAAAACCGGTTTCAGTCAACATTACCCTAACAATTGTTTGCATTATTACTTTAAGATCAATTTTTCCGTCTTTCTCTTTTTTTTTTCGCTAACTTTTTCTTTAATTAAAATATTGCTTTAGAAGGATTTATTGCATATTGAGAAGACAATGACGTACCAACTACTTTATAAAACAAATGTTTTTTCGGAAGGAATGGGCATCAAATTTATCCGCTGTAATTGATTGCGCCTCTTTAATAATAATATATTGTTAAATATATGTATTTTTGTTCCTTCAAGAGTATTTATTAAAAATACAGGGTAAATTTTAATTTTTTGTAATACCTGTGTCAAACAATATATTAATGATTATTTCAAAACTTACCTGTCATAAACACGTTACCGACACTATACCACCCGGCGCCTCCGTTACGTCCGCACATATCGCTTTGAAGTTGGCAACTAGCAAGTGAAAACCACCGACTTTATGCTATCATATGATGCAAAGGAAAGCGACGCCTGAAAATGTGAGGAAGCGCGCGCTTTTGTAATTCGTTTCTCCTAGATACAAAATCCATCAACTTGTAACAATAAAAAAACTTTTATTATTATTTTTTATAATTTATCATTTAACACAGAGTGATTCAGTTCGGATGAATCCGACTTTACCAGATTATTAAAAAATAAATAGGATTTGTCTGAAGAATTAATGTTCATAGCCGTTGCGTAGAGGAGTTACAGCCACTTAAAAGGGGACATATATAACATATTATGTTCCAGTATAACTCCAAAACTTTGAGAGGAACAATAATAAAATTTACGATAAGAAGAGATGTATTTCTTGGCTAAGTAATTATTTCCCATATCAGTTACAACCCAGCAAACCAGCTTAGATCAGTTACATCACAGACTGAGATATCTTAGAGAACCTTGATACCACACTTGTTTTATCCTCATTATACATACAATAGTTGCAATACAGGTATTTATAAATTTATTACACAATTACAGGATGTCAATATTACTTAGCAGCGATATATTATATCATTTATCACTATTACATATTTATACAGGGTGTAGTTCAAAATTAAATGTACATACATTAACTGTGGGTAGAAGGAACGTTGGTTGTTGCAAATTACCCATAATTATTATGGGTCCATGATAGAGGTGGCTGGTGAAATTTGGTCATGTCATATCTTAGTATTGGTGCATGGGACCAAAGCGATACTTTAAGGCATAACTATCAAGACTAAATGAAGAAGTTTTGCAGAAAAAAAATTCCGATTTAAACGAGAAAAAAGATGAAAAAACTGTGCGACTCCCCTTATTTTTTTAAACAATTTGTAAAATATTTGCAAAACATTTTTTTTTCAGAATCGGTAGATTTCAAATTTCATCAAGAAATATTGCTTTTTATAAAGTTAGATAATTTTGAAATTTTATTTTAGATTCAATTTTCACTATGCAAATTTCAAAAAGGTGCAACTGTAAAAAATCTATATTTTTTTATAAAATTTGACATCTGTCGAAATATTTTCCACCTGATTCTGAAAAAAAATATTTTGTAAATATTTTAAAAAATAACTTGGGATTACACACAATTTTTTCAACTTTTCTTTTGCAAATTTAAATAGAATTTTTTTCTGCAAAACTTCTTCATTTAATCTCGATAGTTATGTCATAAAATATTGCTTGGGTCCTATGTTGCAATACTAAGATAGTCTAAATTTCACCAGTCGCCACTGGTCCATGATTTTTCTTTACTGACATACATGATCCATTGTTGATATGTGCAAAATGTTTCTTTTGTCTTAACTTTTGAGCCGACCTGTATAATCGGGTGTAGTTATTTTGGTGATTTTGGTAATATTCAGATAATATGAAGAGAGCTGAAAATATTGGTGAGTGTCATACACGAAAGTATTGGTGAATGTCGCACGCACGCACGCGGGTCCCCCCCACACACACACATC